TTATAATAATATTAATAACCTTTAAATTCTAAAATTACTATTTCAATTTAGTTCATTGGTACCTAATTATAAATATTCTTTAAACATTTAAAAATATAACTTACATTTTGACGAATTGAGTGAAAAAATCAAAAACTGGGTTTTGTGTTAGGTATAATTTATAACTTTGAGTACCTAAGCCAAATTGTTTGTTGATTAGAATAAGTAACACATTGTATGACATACGTCAGTGTAACTTTATTTAATAATAAAAAAAACACATTGTAAATTCATGTATAAATAAATAAAATATGTTTTTTTTCGTTAGAAAAGTTTAATTAAAATCAAAAAATAAATAATTAACGTGGTTGAGAGTATAAGTAACGTCCACTCCCACTAGTTCCCGTGGATGGATGACCATCCGGGTTCGTAATGGAGAATTGGCGAAAACCTATTGCCATGCATACACGTGTTGCTAACTATCGTAACTCTTCAACAACTTCGTGAAGTTCTCGAAGAGATGGATAAGACAGAAAGTGAAAGGTTTGAAAGAGTAGGAAGAAGGCTAAACACCACGCTCGGGGCGATAAGGGATGCGAAGGAACGTGGCTCGTTGCCACTTTCCGAAGAAATTACGGCCTTTAAACAAGCAACAATAGCCTGTAAACCGCGTCAGCGAGTGGCATTAAAGCTGAGGGACCTAGCGACTAGCGAGTGACGCAACGCCATCCGCGGCATAGATAATTCTATTATCTATGCGCGGAATCAACAAACACTGCAGACGCGGTTGCTGCACCTGTAGACGACGGCATAACCGAAGCCTCACGGGTATCGCTCATGAAGTCAAAGCCCTAAGGCAGGAAGTTGGCGACATACGGTCGGCCCAAGAACACAGTGGCGGCGACATTGCATAAGGCGGAACTTGGGTGGAGGTCGCCAGGAAGAAAACGGCGTAGAAAGGCAAGACGGTGACAAACACAGACAGCACCCCGATCCCAGCTAGACGAGTCCCAGAAGACACCAATCATAATCGGGGAGAGGACCAGGCCACCAAGAACTCGGCCATCGGCTATTATCGTGCGAGTAAACAATGGCATATAAAGTTACGCCTACCTACTATGACTAGTACAGTCTACAATACACGTCCTAACATGTACATTTCTTTTCTACTTGGGACTGCGATACTTTTACAAATATAATTTTAGGCTTAAGAGTAATAATATATGTATTATTTTATTAATTTTAATTTGTTATACCTATAATTTAGGAATTCAGGTGTTGAAACCGGTATAAACCGTTATAAAATCGAAACCAAAATCAAAACCTAAAAAAATTGGATACCGGTATAATTATTATTATTATTATTTAAAAATATATTTACGATCTATATTATAGGTATCATGAGTAAGTATGTGGTGACATAAAATAACTTTTGACATAGGAACATTAATTGTAAGTACGAAGGCACCCATCAGCAGTGCCACCTGACAAGAAATTAGGATTTATTTGGTATTTGTAATTAAAAACCGAAACCGAAAAAATTATCTAAAAAAGGTGCTCTGCTGTACAGTAGGCACTTGTAACCTTTTACTTGAGCCTTTTATTGCATTTTCAAGTTTTTTTAACCAACAAATAAAATTTTATTGATGTTTCTAAAAAAAAAACTAAAACAAAATGAAAAAAGGTGGGTAAGTGGATGTCGCTCTGCTGTACAGTAGGTTACAAGTGGGTCACTGTATAATGGATGGTATTAAATTTGAATTGAATGATATAAAATCATTGTATAAGAAAAACGATTCTGAGCGGAGACGGTGTGTCAGTCTAGGTTTAAGACAAATTATTTACATATCTATGGTATTAAAAAAAAATTGACCTATAATAGGTACCTATAATAAATTCCAAATTAATCATATCACAATATCCATTAGGTACTTATAACGCGTTACACATCAACAACAAAACGTGATACTATCATAGATATATAAAAGTACACTTTAGAAGTCTCAAGTACCCACGAATAATATTATACAATCACGACAAAACAACTAAAATAGTTATTCTGGGTTTTTTAATATGTAATTTCGTCCAAATTTGAACTTAAAATGGCTATAAAAATGAACTGTGCTAAAACATTAAAATACATTAGTATTTTTTAGATTTTTTGGTAACAGAATTAACTACTTAAGCGGAATCTTGTTTTAAATTTTCAATCCTTAGGTATAAAAGTTGAACATTTTATAAATTGTTAACTAAAAAATAATTATTCAATTTTAAATTTGATAAATTTTGTCAAAATTCGATCTTTAAATGCTTATAAAAAAAAAAATTGTGCCTATGTATTTTTAATATTTTTCAACTGATATTGTAACAATATATCAGGAGCCTTGTATTAAATGTTTACACTTTTTGGCCCAACAGATAAAACTTTATTGATATTTATAGAATAAAAAACTAAAAAAATTGGAAACTGAAAATGTCCGTAAACAGCTCAAAAAGAGTCAAAATATTTTCAAAATTGTATGTTGTATAGGAAATGCTAATATAAACATTCAGTGAAATTTCCATGTATCTACAGTTATTCGTTTTTGATTTACAACAAAAAAGGAAATCGCTACATGAGAAATCGAGTGAATATCAAATGTTGTAAAAATTTGAATTTCAAAAGCTTATAAAAATTTTATAAAACTTTCTTATAGACATTTTTTTTTTTGATAAAAGTAGATAATCTTATATTACATATTAAAACCTTAGATTTAAAAAGAAAATTTTTTACGAATTCTTAACTCAAAATAATTTGCTAATTTTCGTGATTTTTCCATATTTTGTCAATTTTTGAACTTTAAATGCTTATAAAAAAAAAATGTGACCAAGGATTTTTAATATTTTTCATCCGCCTTTGTAAAAATATACTATGAGCCTTCCATTAAATTTTCAAGCTTTTTTAACCAACAAATAAAATTTTATTGATTGAAAAAAAAAAAAACAAAAAAAAAATGGAAAATGAAAAATGTCCCTAAACAGTTCAAAATAAATCAAAATATTTTGAAAATGTTATCGTGCACAGAAAATACTCAAAATGCAAATATAAACAGTCAGTGAAAATGTTATGTATCAACGATAATTTGTTTTAAAGTTACACCAAAAACCAAAATCGATTTTGTGACAAATCGATTTTGCGTAAAAATTCCCGTTTTTCCTAAATTTTTCTTTCGTTTTTCTTGGTGCTTTTGAAAATTACTGGGAATTTTGAATTTTGACCTCCCCAATGCACCAACGCACCAACGATATTCACTTTACAATCAAACAATAGATATTGAAGTTGAAAATCGAAGCAATATTTCGACTACTTATCGTGTACACACTACTACACGGACACAAAAAAAAAACACATCATTGTAAAATCAATACATTCATCGTTCCACTCAGAATCTAAAACGGTATTTATTTTTTTTAAATCTTTGTATCTTAACATTTTAGAAAGTTTACTTTAAGCGATCGGGCAATTCAAAAAAATTAATAAACCAAGAATGAATGTAAATAGTCCAGGCCTTGAAACCGACTTTAGAAACCGTTTGAAAACTAAAACCGAAAACAAAATAGGAACAAATTGGAAATAGTTATTAAATCCAAAACCGAAACCGGAAAATACTGGAAACCACTATACAAAAACGAAACCAATACTGAAATTTTCCAATACCGGTATTGAAAAATCGAAACCGAAATTTTTACAATCGGTTTCAAGCCCTGGTTAGGATATCACACCAATACCAACAGCAACCACAAGTCACGGCCTCCCACTGTTACTAGGCTCTGTGTGTCCTGCTGTGTTGTACCTACTACATTCTGTGGTCGTTAACGTCAGTAACATTGTTAACCATACAATTTTAAGTAGATATAAGTATATAATTACCTTCCAGCAAACGCAGTTTTGTGTCTCAACAAATTATTTAAAACCACCCCAGCTGCCATAATTTCATACTACAATACTATACTCTAGTTTGTTATATAAATTTGTTTTGGTAAGTATCTTCATTCAATTTAAGCAAAATAATATAGTAATTGGCCAAAATAAAAATATAAGCTAAGTATTAGTTTGTTTATGGACTTTGAGTGAAATCTTTACTTAATGCAGATATTATATAGAGTTAGTTATTAAAGTGTTCAATCTATAATCATAATTTGTAAGTGTTTGTTTTATTATTGGTAGACGACATGAACCTCAGAAACCTGCGCATTTGAATATACAATCTGGATCCTGTATACAACTATGCAGCTAAAGGTTTAAGCTCTATCTAACAACTTAGTGTAATCATTCAATAATTATATTTTAACTAAATTGGTATGATATTGAAACATAGGTAAAAAGTATATAGATTTTGTGAATAACTCAATTTGTAAATTAAAATACCATCAAGATCACTTGATTTCTCAGTGGGAATACTTGTCATAAAATCTCGACAGAACTCAAATACTAAAATAATATATTTTTGTCATTATATATATTATATATATATTGAAATTGTTTAATACTGACAAATACTAAACGAATGATCCTTAGTTAAGAGATATGTATCCAAAACTAATGGCTATATAGTATATACTAAAAAAATTAAATATATTAATTAATTAATAAACAATTATTATTAACAAGTGTTACAAGATTTATAAAATTCATATTTTCATATTTATATTTAAAAAAAAAAAATCATAAAACATCTAAAGTATTAAGCTTCCTTCCATTTACCATTAACGATAATTAACTCGAGTTGGTTTTTTCACTGAAAATACCTTTTACAATATTAATTACAAAGTTGAAAATATAGTAGCTTCTTGAATCATTCACATAATTTAATGTTAAAAACATTTTATTTATAATAATTAATTAGATATATAAAAAAATAATCATAATTATCAATGCTTAATTATTACAATAACCTTAAGACCAAAAATTAATTTTTACTCAAGGATGAAGTACATAGACAAAGTAATAAAAATTCAGTCATTTTACCTTTTGAGTTGGTTCAAATTTGTTTTGAACATCTTATGTCATTTGTTAACTGAGCGAGGTTAATCATAAATGTTGGTAGTTCCTACAATAACAATATTAATACATTAAATATATTTTTAAACTCATACTAATATAATAACTACTTTGACTGGCTGCATGCGTTTTTGCCTCAAAAATTGTCGCTGATCATTACGAATATTGTCTGTTTGTTTCAAGTAATCAGGCAAGAATTTAGAAAAGAAATAATCAAAATCAACACTAGCCATGTTGTAAATAGTCATTGATATTTCGTCTGATAGAATTGTGTGGCTTTTATTAACCATAACGTTCAATAGTACAGTCATGTATTTGCTGAGAAAATAATGTTTGAAATATTCCTAAAAAAAATTAATTATAATAATTTTAATTCTTCCATTTTATAAATTACTTAATTATTACTTAAATTAATACCTTTGCATATAAATTCCATTGTACGTGTAGTTCTTCAATAGCTTTTAAGTTTTGTGAAAAAATACTTATATCATTTGTCATAAATGAGTATCCTATTACTTCTAATATTGTAGTGAACTGTTCAGAATTATCAACATTATTATCGTTAGTAGGATGCAGCACAGTGAGAGATGGAGAAGCAGGAAAAAAATATCTCCATTTATACATCAAAACACTAAAAAAACAAAAAAAATGACTATAAGTCTTAATAATATCTGCTAATAAAATAATAATTTTACCAAAAGAGCAAATTATAAAGTGCAGAAACTGTTGGTGGGTAGCAGTTAGAAGCTACCAAAGGAATTAATTTCTCTAATCCTAATTTAATAACTACAGATGTAAACTCTTTATTTGATTTAGAAGAATGTTTAACAATTAATGATAGAACTTCAAGCATTTTGATTGTCAACATTGTACTAGCGGACCATATCCTAAAAAAAGAATTCAACAAATTTAATACATTATTTTTAGGTTAGCACATTTGAAATAATTGGAATATTGATACTTACATGTCTAAGTCAACAAAGGTTTGCATAAGAATTTGTACAAACTGAGGTGACATAGTGTCATGCAATAATTCATACATCTCTGATAAAAATGTAATCACTCGTTCACATTTTTCCATTTGTGGATTGAGCGAGGACTCTGATTGCATATCATTTTTCAGGTGTGTAACCGCTTCAATCAAACATGGCTAAAGAAATTTTATTTAAAAAAAAAATGGTTTATAACATTTAAAAGTATTATGATTAGTGTAGTTACTTCAACAGAACGATAAATAATTCTTCTAGTAGACATTTTGTAAGGACCACTGCTAACAAGAACATCAGTTAACATTTTCAAATCATTTAATCCAGATGGTGCTAATGACTTTAAATAATTCATGAGAACCAATACTTTTATTTCTTCTTCTTGACTGGGACAAGTCAAAAGAAACTTTAAAGATGTTACCCTCACTGACAAGCGAGTCTAAAAGTATGAAAGTTGTAAACAATTTAATAAATATATAATTTTGTAAAAATTATACCTTCTTATTTAAATGATTAAGTGTTATAGAACCATCTAAAAATGGTGATAATAATTGTTCAAGCAATGATGTGTACTCGCTAATATGAACAAGCATAGGTTCAGTAACTGTTGGTAGTAGAACTCCACAAGCATCATGTATCTGAGTGGGTTGCCTCGTGTCTTGTAAAGACGTAACCAAAACAGAAAAAAGTTTTTCTCGATTCTGTTCCATACAAAATTGTTTGTTGTTGTTTAATAAATGCATCCACCTCGATAATGCCGTGAGGATTTCGCTCTGACTAAAAAAATAATAATAACAATAATACAATAACTACCTTAAGTTGTTCTTTATTGTATGTGTAGAAAATACAATTTTTAATTGCTTACATTTGAATCAGAGTTTTTGTAGTTGATTGTGAAACAGGTAATTGATAAAGCGGTGTTGTAGCGACACCTTGAATCGCTATGTCATTGAGCATTTTTGTAATCGCAATTTTCATAGAATCTTCATAATAGCCACTCAGGCTTGTCAAAGTTCTTGTAGATGGAACTAAGAACATGCACTTGGAATCCTTAAAGTTTTCCAGTAGCATGGGTGAATTCAGTATAGTTATATAATCATTTATATAGACTTTCCAATTATCAACCTAAAACCATTATTATTAGGTTTAATTAAATGTGCATTGATACTTAAATGAGAATAGTATAATAGGGAGCTACATTTGGACAAAGTTTATATGTGAGTAGTAAGTGAACATTAGTGTTTCTGATAAACGCAGTTATACAACTCACGCATATGTCAATACTTTGCAAAAATTAAAATATATTCTTTGCTTAATTATAAAAACTACTAAAAGCGGTAGTAAATTAAACATACTTAATGAAGTTTGATTGTAATTTCAAAAATATTTTTGAATTTATAAGGTTATACTATAGCCTTTAGGAATCACTTTATGATTTAAAATCATATGTGCCGAGTTTAAATACAATAATTTCATGGAATTTTTAAAAAAATCTCAATTTTAAAGTCCTTTAAAATTTAAAATCTACTTTCAAAATAGCCTAGCTATTTTGTCAAAGAGTTCATACATGTATAAAAATTAAAATTGGATATTCCGAAGTATATTGTGTAATTTACCACCACACAATTGGTCTAACACATATGAAAAATACGTGTGTTGCGATCCCCTAAATACAATTCTTATATTATATTTACCACAGGCACAGCGATAACTGGATAAAGATGTGCTACATTTGATATAATTTCAATATTTTTATTCAAAAATATTTGGCATTCAGTTTGTCCCTGTAAACATGTTAATATAGAAATCTTTAAAACTTATTTAATTCTAATTAATTGAGAACATTAGAAATTACTATTTAGTATCTAGGGAATTTTTTTTTTTTTAATAAGTTGTTAATTTTATAACATATTTATTATGCTCATAGGATAGGTATTAAATAAAAAACTGGTATTTAATTTAAAACAAATCATATTAATTGCATAATATTATATTATAAATTCCAATTCTGTCTTCGACATGCTTTAACAAAGCTGGTTAACGACTGATGTTTGATAGAAATTCTGGACGAAGTATTTAATAGTGTCGTATGTGTACAGGGGAGAACTTAAAACAGTATATCACAATATAAGAGAGAGTACCCAAGAAAAAACTTTTTTTGAAAAATTGTTGATCTATACTCGACACGGAATAAAAACATACCCGAATGGCGTACCAAAATAGGTTTGCTACGCGTAGGTCATAGTTATGACTATAACTATATGTTTATAACTATGACAAGGTTGCGGATGGGAAACCGGTCGCCGCCTGTGCAACGAGGTATGTTCTTATTCCGCGGCGAGTATATATTTATACATTTTTAATATTTTGATCTCCTTTAGAGTTAATACACTTGTCCAATATTTTATTCCACTGTGCCAGACATTTTTGAAATTCATCTTTTGTGAAGACTTGGTCTTGATTTCATAAATATCAATTTTAAAATAGAAATTAAATTTGGCAATCTAATAATAATCATGCAATAAACCATACTAGCATCATATTAACTGGTTTATCAAATAATGACGAACAATTATTATTATACTTGGCTTAAATGTATACAAAATGTTTGCTTTGATCAATAAAACTGTATATTTAATATGTGACCATCGCCAGTCATCTGTAATCCTCAAATTGTATACTTTTGTGACCGCCTAAGCACATAGTTACTACCATGCCATAATATGATTGTTGGGGACCATAAATAAAAATAGTTTTAAATTATTAGCTTTTCTATAGCACTATAATAATGAAAAAGAGAGCTGTGGCGTAGCAGGAATTATTACAATTTTGTTGATCTAATAAACATATTATTTTTATAATAGAGGGTTTAACATCCTATATATGGTTAAACATAAGAAATAAACTCACATAGAATATGACTCTTAAAAAACTACTATAATGGTTTGAATACTTACATCATCATCATAAGTTTCATCATTTATACTGCCAAAAGTATTAATTTTTTGTGTCACTCTTTCAACAAGATCTAAAAATATACGACGATACCTAGAAAATATACATTTATTTATTATTAATAAATTACTTACTATTTTCAAATTAAATAGGTATATTCATCAAAAATATTAGAAGTTCTTATTTCTAAACAAATCATACATTTTAATTTTATATTTAGTAGAAATGTATAGTTTTTTGAAATGATTAATATATATAATAAATTGTAAAATTACTTTTCAGTACATCCAGGACGATCAGACAATGCTTCGAAAATACTACACCAAATATCCAAACATTGATAATAACAATCTAAAACATCTTGCCGGAATGTAAATTGTAATAGTAGCTCTAAGAATTCACCATTATTAAAATGACTATCAAGATAGTTCCAATACTTTCTAATGACTACGGATAGAATTTCAATAACTATAACCATATAACTGAAAAAATTAAATTTTATTAGATAAATGTTTAGTGGTAGTTTTATAATATACTATATTGTATACTTACGCTTCACTCACAAAACCAATTTCAGGAACAGCAATGATATTTTCAACTAAACGGAATGTATAAAGACATAACTCAGACAAAATGAAATATCTATCTTCTGTTTGAGTATATGATTTACTAAGAACTTCATTAAATATAGTTAAAGTGTTAATGGATGTAGCATTCTGAACAATAAAATTGATTTTATATTATTAATTTATTAATATTAATTTCAAAATTATATAAAATATACCTCTTTTTTTCCTAGGGGCATCAAGACATGTAATAAATCAGGAGTCAGGTGCTTTTCAAATGGAAGCCATGTAAACATATCAGAAAATACTTTTGTTACCGCTTCATATATTTCATCTGAGTTTGAAGTTTTATGGGCATTTTTCAAAATATCTAAAAACAATGAATTATTAATATAAACTATTTGTAGTAAGTACTAACTGGTATTATAATTATTAAATGAATAATTCTACAGTTTTACAAATGTTTCCAGCACCTATAATAGTAAAATGCATATAATAAAATAATAATAACTATACAAAACGAACAACAATAATAATTTTACCTGAAAGTATTTCAAACAATTTGGGAATGTGCTTCAAAAAATTTACTTTCAGTTCATGTTTTCTTTTGCCTAAAAGATCTTCTTTGGGGCTAATAAATTCTTCAGATGACAAAAGCAAAAATGATAAACCCAAAAGAACTTGTTCAGGATTTACGAGCAACTATGTGAATTACAAATATTATTACTCACTTATGTATATGCTTTGTTTTTAATTTAAAGAACACCTACTTGTGCAATGTGATCGATAAAATTCGGATACCGCAATGGCCAATCATTACGGGCTATATCGACTAATAACTTGATCATTTTACTGATCATATATTTTGGATATTCTTTGTGTTTCATCACAATATGGTTAAAAATTGCTTCTCTCAATGTTTCTTGAGATTTGAAAGTCATTTTTTCCCATTTCTTATTGATAATCATCTATTTATCAAACATCCGCATATGATTTGTTTACATTTTTCGCAGCTGTGGTCAGTGAAAAAAAAAACAATTTTATATCTTACCTCCATTATGTTCAAACTGAACATTAACAAATATTGGTTTTTACTGTTCTCCAGGTTGTAACAACACTGTACCCAACATTTATCTCGCTCCCCAAATTTGTCAAACTCTTCTTGCATACACAGCTTTACAGCGTTACTGGAATTTGCATCATAGAACTCTGTCAACATCATCTCATAGTTTTTCATTTCGTGTTCGTAGACCTAAAAAACACGAGAAAATAATAGTCAATCGTATTATGTAACATCATTCCTGGCATATCGCATGTAGACGATATACTTACGACCATGTCTTGACCGTTCATAATGATGGTTATTGTTTATAATGACAGTTAAAACTTCCAAACGATCAGGAAAATAATTTGTTTGGCCAACGATTCCCGTGCATTTGACGATCGACCGGCGGCGTCAGATTATATTATTATTAACACGATGCTTACTACAGTACATAATTTACAATTTACATGATCGCAAGTCTTCAGAAACCATACCGTTAAATGTTCATTAATGAAGCAAGTAAGCGGTAAGCAGTAAGCGCAATGAAAATTGTAATTTCGTATTTTTAATTTGTAACAAAATTAAAAACATTTTCGAACGTTATCTCAATTGCTATCAGATCAGTGTACCCATAGACATATTATTATAGATATTCTATTTTATGTCTATGGTGTAACCAACCGCAATACTACTACGTGATATTATTTTGTTATTGTTATTGTCATTGAAATGTGTACCTAAACGTATTTTATTATTTTCCCATTGATTAAATTAAATAATATATAATATATAATACACGTTATTAAATACACGACCATTGATTATAAATACTATATAGATCGATAACTGGGCAACTGGCCCATATTTACGCGGAGCGAAAAAATTTACGAAAAGTGGATGTTGCCGTAATGGAGCGCTGTCGTCGCCCATTAGTTACTTACAAGAACCAAGTCCGTGGTTACGGATCAATGCTTAGATTTTCTTGTCTTTATGTCATCTTTTCTGATAGAAAAATTAATCTAGTTGGTACTGGTAATTAAGAAAAAACAGACATTTTTACTTAAAATCGGTTTTTGACAAATTCGATTTTGATTTTTAGTGTAACTCTAAATCAAATAACCGTACATAAAATGTTCGGTACCTACCTATTAGTATTTTTAATACACGATAAAATTTTCTAAATATTTTAATTTGTTTTGCACTGTTTACAGCGCCATTCTAAATTTTAAATCTTTTATATTTTTTTTATAAATGTCAATCCAATGTTGTTTTCCAAGCAAAATTTATAATTTATTAAGGTATAGCTACAGGGAACACCAATGATAACGTTCTTATACTTCCGGCAGTTAAGACTTAAATTATCAGACTATTAGGTATTGATGCTTTTTAACTGCGAAGAACACGAATACACGATTTTAATGTCCTATATGATTGACCAACGTCATTAATTATGTCAAACACTATTGATGACATTTCAAATAGGTACACTTGTATTTTGGAGACTGACAAAATACCTAGTCATTACTTTAAAAAAAAATTAAAAAAAAACGTCTGCACAGGAATCCTAGTAATTTAAACTGTACCTACATAATATGTAATATTATTATGCAGTCACTAATTTTATCAGAACCTACATTTTTAAATTATTTTACTTGAAAAACCATTTATGAGCTTATTTGTAGCTTATTATGTCCTTTTTACATATAGATAAAAATATGTACATGTGACATTTCAATATTTCATTTAATTAAAGCATACATATAATATATATATTATAAAATAATACGTTAGTTATTCGTTGTTAATAAACACTAGCATTAATTTAAATTTTTAACCATAATAAATGTCATTAATCCAAATGTTGAGTTTCAATTAATTAATATACATCGATCAAATGTGTTCAGTACATTTGTAGGTAGGTACCTATCTACATCATTTTATTTTATATATTATTATATGAACAATCAACATGTTTAGTTTGTGCAGACTGTTATTTTATACATAGGTAGGTACTGAAAATTGCAATAATGATTAAATAATATTAATTGTTATTATAGTATTTATTAATTAATAAATATTATGTACAACAAATAACAATTAACTTCATATATTATTATATTATATTATGTAATATGTATTGTGGGGGTTATTTGAGGAACGTGTATGGGGGGTGTGGGGGGCAGAGCCCCCCACATTTGTTCTTCATATTAAATATGTTATTGCTGAAGCCCCCCCCCTAACTTTAAGGTCTAGTTACGCCTATGACTGTAGGATACTAGGATATAATACTTTATATATAAGATCAATGTACTTACTTACGTGTATTATACACTTAACCTACTGTATAATATTATTTTTGCTATTAACACCGTATAGTTACTACCCTTTTAATAAATAGTACCCAAAATAAATATTATTTACTTTATAACGTTAAGGTTCCCTGTGGCCTGTGCCGATGCCATTTTTTCCTCAAAAATACATTTGCTTACCTAACCTTGTAGAATCAACCAAATTTCATGTTATTTTTTTTAATTACTAGAGGCCCAGTGCTCGAATTGGGAAAAATTAAGTAGGGGGCTCAATCCAAAGATTTAAAAACTGAGTTCCAAACGCGCAATTACTCAACACAGACACGTGGGAGAAAGTAGAAAAAAAAATAAGAATAGTCTATACATGTTTATTCAATGTACTAAATAGATAAGAAAATTAATAATTATTGTTTTCGATTCAAAAGGACCACATATTTTTATAAGTATAAAAAAATTTGAAAATTCAAAAACACCGATAAATGATAACCATAACTGAAACTAATAACATTTCATTTGGAACACAATTTAAGATACCTAGTACTAGCCCACACCAATATCTGTGCCTTAGCCCTTAGATAATATACTTATATATGATCTATGATCTGTGAACTACTGACTGTATAGGCAAAACACAGGGTGATATTATAATTAATTAATAAACTAATATCAAAAATAATTTTGATATGAAAAATAGTAAAACTTGTTGTATATAATTGACATCAATATTGAAATCCAATTTATAATAAAAATTATTTCGGATTTTAGTTTGCACCGTCCCCGTCCAAGTAAAAAAAAAGGTGGGTAAGTGGATGTCGCTCTGCTGTACAGTAGGTTACAAGTGGGTCACTGTCAACATCAATAACAAACCCTGATACTATCATAGATATATAATAGTACACTTTAGAAGTTTCAAGTAGGTACCCACGAATAATATTATATAATCACAACAAAATAACTAGGTTTTTTAATATGTAATTTCGTTAAAATTTTAACATAAAATGACTATAAAAATAAACTGTGATTGTATATTTTTTAGATTTTTCTTTAAGAGAATTAACTACTTATGTGGAATCTTGTTTTTAATTTTCAATCCTTAGCTATAAAAACTGAACATTTTATAATTTATTAATTACGATGATTAATAATTTTCGAGATTTTGAAAAATTCTGTCAAAATTCGATGTTTAAATGCTCATAAAAATAAATTGTGCCAATGTATTTTTAATATTTTTCAACTGATATTGTAACAATATATCAGGAGCCTTGTATTACATTTTTACACTTTTTGGAAGAACAGATAAAACTTTATTGATATTCATAGAAAAAAAAAACTAAAAATTGAAAGCTGTAAATGTCCGTAAACAGCTCAAAAGAGTCAAAATATTTTCGAAATCGTATGGTGTATAGGAAATGCTAATATAAACATTCAGTGAAATTTTCATGTATCTATAGTTATTCGCAGGGACGCATTAAGGGGGGGGGGAAAGGGCATTTGCCCCGGGCGGAAGTTTTTTGGGGGCGTTACATTTTTGTAATTTTTTTTTTTTTTGTATCTCAGAGTCAAAAAGAAAACATACAAATTGTATGACATAATGGAAAACTCGGGTTTAAGAAACAACTAATAATAATTAGAACTATCATACTAATGTACTATTAAACGTTATAAATTATGTATATAAAATTATGTCATAGTATGAGATGGGCATTTATATGCAAGCTTCAAACTAGCACCCTCAGTTTATTTCAGTATTTCACCTATCATTTATAAACTATCGTGGTTTATTGGTTCGGAATTTTTCTTTTCATTACAAATATTAACAACTGTTTACGAATTCACGAATTCATTTTTTTTTTGTCCGTCATCATCTTTTAGGGCAGTAAAAGTGCTTGGATTTTCTTCAACAGTATCTTTTCTGATAGGAAAGTGAATCTAGTTGGTACTTTGGGGGGGTCAAATTGTTATAAGCATTTAAATTCCAAATATTGACAAAATACGTGAAAATGAAGAAAATTTGCAAATTATTTCGAGTTAGAAATTCATAAAAAATTTTCTTTTTAAATCTAAGATATGAAAATTTAATGCAAGATTCCTCATAAGTTTGTCTACCTTTATCAAAAAAAAAAATGTCTACAAGAATCTCAAATTAAATTTTTATGAACGTTTGAAATTCATATTTTTACAACATTTGATATTCACTCGATTTCTCATGTAACGATTTTCTAATTTTGTTGTAATTAAAAAACGAATGACTGTAGATACTTGAAAATTTTACTAAATTTTTATATTAGCATTTCCTATACACCATATAGTTTTGAAAATATTTTGATTCTTTTTGAGCTATTTACGGACATTTTCAGTTTTCAATATTTTAATTTTTTTTCTATTCATATCAATAAAATTTTATTTGTATGGTAAAAAAGCTTGAAAATTTAATGCAAAGCTCCTAATACATTGTTACAATAACACTTGAAAAATATTAAAAATACATAGGCACAATTTTTTTTAATAATTATTTAAAATTCAAATTTTGACAAAATTTATCACATTTAAAATTTAATATAATAATTTTATAGTTAAAAATTTATAAAATGTTCAACTTTTATAGCTAATGATTGAAAATTTAAAATAAGATTCTACGTAAATAGGTTATATATAAATTGCTTTATTCACCTTAGTATCATCAAATATACTTAGTAATATCATAGGCTGACTAACCGTCTTCGCTCAGAATCGTTTTTCTTATACAATGATGTTAGTATATCATTGAATTCAAATTTAATACCATCGATTATACAGGGACCCACTTGTACCCTACTGTACAGCAGAGCACCTTTTTTTGTTTATCAAACTTAAATAACTTTTATTTTGGTTTTGATATCGGAAATATAAAAACAAAGTTACAGAGTAAATTTTCTCATTTTTATAGTGTGAACATTTAGTTTCTTAGCTTAGAGTAGAGCCTGAATGTTTTTTATACCCGTGCAAAACAGTTTTGCCTATGTTGTACCTACGTCTGTAATACGGAGACAACACATGTGGGTGTACCTAGCGTACCTAGCCTCTTCTTTACAATCATACAGACTATTTGATACATTGCACTTTAGAAATTATTGTATACACTATACAAATTAAATCTAATGCAATGCAGAAATATTAGGATTAGGAGGTGTGAACCATAAATTATCCCAGCACCCCCTGAATTCACACCCAATGTGCGCCTATGGCTGTCAATAGAAAATGAGATGATTAGAAGTATTGATTGGTCAAGTATTATAAAAGAGTTTGTGAACAAAAAAATAAGAAAATATTTTAATTAGTATTGTTCCATATTTGTCATTTAAATAGTTTTATAATATGTAATAATATTTTATTGTTAATAAAGAATAAAGATATATTTATTATTATAAGTCAATGCTTAATACATAGGTACTCCATAAATAACTAAAAATATAGGTGTTGCTTACTAGGAGGTATTTATTAGTTAATGAAATATAAACATTTTACATAATAAATATTCCAATTACCAGTACTATTTTAAAAGAAAGGATTATTATTCCAAGTTCCAAATAGATATTTAGTAATTAATTTAATAAGATATCTATGTAGGTATAATAACTGTATGAAATGTAAGGTACTAACTTAATTTTTCGAGCGCAGCGAGGAAATTTTTTTTAAGTTTTTTATACTTTCATTAATATTCATAAAATACACCAGGGGCGCAAAATAATTTTGCCCCCCATATGTGAACCCTCTTCGTGATTTTTCCATATTTTGTCATTTTTTGAACTTTAAATGCTTAAAAAAAAAAACTGTGACTAACGATTCTTAATGTTTTTCATCTGTCTTTGAAACAATATAGTAGGAGCCTTGTATTAAATGTTCAAGTATTTTTACTCAACAAATAAATTTTTATTGATATTCATAAAAAAAAAAACTAATAAAATTGGAAACTGAAAATGTCCCTAAACAGTTCAAAATAAATCAAAATATTTTGAAAATGTTATCGTGTATAGAAAATGCAAATATAAACAACCACTGAAAATTTCATGTATCTGCGGTTATTATTTGTTTTAAAGTTACACCAAAAACCAAAATCGATTTTTTAGAAAACCGATTTTGCGTAAAAATTCCCGTTTTTCCTTAATTTTTATGTTGTTTTTCCTGGCGCTCTTGAAAACTACTGGGAAATTTACATTTTGACCTCCCCAATGCACCAACGATATTCACTTTTCAATCGAACAAGATACTGAAGTCGAAAATCGAAGCATTATTTCGACTACTTATCGTGTACACAGACACAAAAAAAAAATAAATAAAAAAAAACACACATTGTAAAATCAATACATTCATCGTTCCACTCAGAATCTAAAACTATTCAAAATGATAAGTTCATTAAAGAAAGATGATTCATAGGGCCAATGCAGGTTATAAATGTTAGAGTCTATAAAAATATTTCTATTATACATAAATTCTTAAAAAAAAAAAAATTGAAGCGGAGAGTTGGCGCCCGCAGGCAAATGCGTTTTAGAAGAAAAAAAAAATTAGAAAATAAACAATATTACCACACATTAAAGAATTCAAACTAAAATATCCAGAAACTTAACAGAAAAAACTATTTAAAATGATAAGATCATTAAAGAAAGATGATTCATAGGGCCACTGCAAGTTATCAACGTTCAAGTCTAAACAAAATATTTAACTAGAGTTAAATAACTAAAAAAAAAAAAATTGAAGGGGGGTGTTGGCGCCCGAAAGCAAATGCGTTTTAGAAAACAAAAAAAAAAAATTAGAAGAAATTAAACAATAGGACCACACATTAAAGAGTTCAAACTAAAAAATCCAGATTCTTAAACAGATAACTCTATTTAAAATAATTAGTGCAGGTTATCAATGTTCACATCTTAACAATAAATTTAACTAGGGTTAAATAACTAAAAAAAAAACTTGAAGGGGGATGTTGGCGCCCGCAGGCAAATGCGTTTTAGAAAACAAAAAAAAATTAGAAGAAATTAAACATTAGGACCACACATTAAAGAGTCAGGTTATCAACGTTCAAGTCCAAACAAAATATTTAACTAGAGTTAAATAACTAAAAAAAAAATTTGAAGGGGGGTTTTGGCGCCCGAAGGCAAATCCGTTTGAGAAAACAAAAAAAAATTAGAAGAAATTAAATAATAGGACCACACATTAAAGAAATCAAACGAAAATGTCCAGAAACTTAACAGAAAAAACTATTCAAAATGATAAGTTCATTAAAGAAAGATGATTCATAGGGCCAATGCCATCAACAGGATGTCAGAATGTTTAGCTTATATGAAAGGGAAATGCGAAAAGGAAATGTAATTTTAGGTTAGGTTAGCGAATAAGTGTGTGTAGCAGATATGAGAATATTAAGTTAGGTGTTGAGGTACAAAGGAGGATAGAATAGGAAATTTATTAGTCCACTTATAGTTTCAGTTATTAATTTTGATCTGATCTTGGTTTTCATACAATTTACAGAAGAGAATATTCGTTCGCAATCCGCGTTTGCATGTGGTAAACTAAGCAAAGCCAGTGCAAAATTACATAGTTAGATAAACTCTTGAGTATCATTTTCAATGCTAAACTTTTTAATAGACCACCTATAACCGAATACATTTAAATTTTAAATTAATTAATATTAATAATAAAATCTGCAATTTTTATTTACCAAAATGTATCTGGTTCAATCATATTTTCAATATCATCTGGAAGCGAACTTATTGAAATAGGTAATCTACGCCATTCGTCATCAATGACTTGTATTCGTGGGTCATTAATATTAATGATACAAGGAACTAATTTAATCAGATTGACAAGAGAAGGCTTAGTGTTTCTAAATTCTAATGACAAAGCATTTTTTGGTTTAAAACTAATAATGATTCTGTTAAGACAGGATCAGCCATATTATATCTTTTTTTCATTTCTAAAGAAGATGTTTGTAAGAACTGACGACACCTTAAAAAGAAAAACGTTGTGTAAAATATTTTTCCTATCTAAAAAATAAACCAAATGATTGTGGTACCTTTCAAAAAAGTCTTTACGTTGGTTATTATTACTTAAAATATCCGGATTGTCCTTATGCATTAATACCTTAGTTCCCAGATACAGTTCATTATCTGTGATTTGATATTGCCCATTCATGGGATTTATATTTATTAGAGGAGCTCTCATAACATAGTCTCTTTTCAAAAAACATAATAAAAGCTCTTTGTAGAGTGAAACAATCTTTTCATGTAAATCAGTAATAACAACAGAATCTGTCTGAAAGAATTGGTTAAATCTAAAAATATAAATAAAGTGTACTTAACTGTAAACAATTGATAACAAGTAGGTAGCTATACTAATAAATAATATAATAAAATAATACCTTGTAAATTTAGGAAGAGCCCATTGCAAGAAATAATAAAACAACTTCATAAAAGGGTCATTCAAAGCAGCAAGGATATGTTCAGTTGACAGAAGCCGCTGTACTAAAACAGTATCTAAAAAGTATAATCTCAGTGCATCCCATTGTTCTATAACTCTGTCTACTACTGCAGTTCCATACA